AAAAACCGTGTTTAAAATAACAATAAAATCTGCCCCACCAAATTAAAAGCATCGCCATCCCAACGGAATTACTCATAAACTGAACATCCTCGGTAAAAGAAAACGCATCAGGACCATAAACCGGTCACGTTCACGGCCCGGAAAGCCGTAAATGGGTCCCAGCAGCCGCAATCGATCACCACTGTTAGTTGTTCTTTTCGTCCCTCTACTGTGCCGGGCCCTCTATTTAAACCCTTTGCTTGGATTGAAGGAAACAAAAGGAATCATAACAAATGGCGTCTTGGAATTCAGTTCATCTTGAGGTTCTGTACAACGTTTTGGGATGGGTCGCCTTTGTCTCTTGGTCCATCAGTTTCTACCCTCAAGTCATCCTCAATTTCCGAAGGAAAAGGTTTTCTTTTTCTCCCCTTTTTCTTTTGTTTAATATTTTCTTGCTTGGGATTGGATTTTCTGGTTGAATAATCTTATTTTCTTGTTTGCTATTTTCTTGTTGGCAGCGTGGTGGGATTGAATTTCGATTTTATAATACTCAATTTGACCAAGCACTCGTCGTATCTGATTTACAATGCTTCTCTGTTCTTTAGCCCGGCCGTGCAGAGGCAGTACCGTGAGAAATTTGGTTTCAATCAGGTTTTATTAATTTAAATTATATTCTTGATTTGATTAAACATTGCTTCCTTTTTTGTGGGATGCTTTTAGTTTTCATCTTGGCTTATGAAGTATCTGTGAATTTGTTAAATATGTTACAACTGTTGATGGGCAGATGATACCAGTTGCTGCTAATGATGTGGCTTTCTCCATGCACGCTGTCCTACTGACTGCCTTTACCTTGTTTCAGATTGTAATTTATGAGGTAAGAATCAATTCCCCTTTGTCTATTTCTGAGGATTATCTGTTGAGATGAGTGTATTTTTCCCACAATGCTAAGTAGTGGTCTGCTTTTATTAAGCTGCTGTGTTATTATAGCTATCAGTATGAGAATGCAAAATTGGGGTTTTTGATTTATTGTGGATAACTATAGTCTTTCATCAGCTGAGGAATTAAAAAATTGGTAGGAAGAAATGCTTTGCTATTGACATTATCCTTCTAGATCAGGTCTAAAAGAAGTAATCATCGTTCTTTTTACTATCGAGTGTTTTTGCAGTGTGGAAATCAGAAAATCTCCAAAGTCTCAATCGGAATTGTTTCTGCAGCCTGGTTATTTGCTGCGGTTTGTGTCTGTATTGCTATACCCAGACATTCATGGTTGTGGCTGGTCTCCTTTTGTTTCAAGTAAGAATATCTTCTTTTGCATAACAATTTGAGTGATCCCTATAGTGTAATGCCTATATGATTAAATCTTACTTTTTTCAAAACCGTAATCCATTTATATATGTTGCAGCAATATTCAGGTTGTTATGACGATCATCAAATACATTCCTCAGGTAGGCTCTGTATTCGTCTTTTCTTGCTGATAACTCAGTTAGATGATCTAATGATGATGAGTCCACCAAACAATTATTATTAGGTTGTCTTGAATTTCCGGCGAAAAAGCACAGTTGGGTTTAGCATCGGCAACATCTTGCTCGATTTTCTCGGAGGGGTGACTAATTATTGCCAGATGGCTGTTCAATCCATAGACCAGAGTGAGAAATACTATATATGGGGTTTTCATTATTGTTACACATTGGATAATATATTTATATATTTTCTAAATTTGTAATGTCATCTGACACAGATTCATGGGTGAACTTCTATGGAAACATAGGAAAGACAATGATATCTTTGGTAAGGAGATTATGACCCTTCAAAATTAGAGTTATCCACTTACGGTTTTACAAAACGCAAAAGTGATTTTCTTTACAAAATCCCAATTACGGTTGCATTTTGCAATATGGAAACATATATAAGTGGAAATTTTTCAGTTTGAAAGATGTTTGTTTTTCTGTAATTAGACTAACTTCAAAGACGCCTCATTGTTATCAAATCCTTTTTTTCGTTTCTAAAAAATAATGAAAATACATAATGTTACACCATTTTTTTGCAGGTTTCAATCTTTTTCGATATCCTCCTCATAATCCAGCATTACGTGCTGTATCGCCCCAAGAAAAATGACGTTCAGTCGGACCCAAATGTGGTCAGCAAGGATCCACTTCTAGAAACCACTGATCCTCTTTCTGACAATGTGTAGTCAAAATTATGCCTTGTGCCTGCACCTGATTGAATCCTGACCTAATTTGGGAAGCTCCTCTTGTATTATGTATTCATCTCCCTACTCTTTTACAAGGGAAATGTTGCACAGCTGACACAAGCAAAGAAAACAGTTTTTTTTTTTTTCTTTTTTTTTGTCCTTTGCTTTGTGTTTATTGTTGGGTTTTATTTTCCTGGCAATTTGTTTTTGCTGAATTATGTGCCACTTGAACAACTGCATTGATGCAGGGATCGGTTTAGCTTGAGGACTAGTGAAACACTTCAGTTGCTTTTGTGACTATTTAAGTTTCATTGAATGATTAAAAATGTCATGAAAGATGTTGGTATGCTGGTTGTTGAATTCGTATATTGGAAGGGGAAAAAAGAAAGAAGAAGAAGAAGAAGAGAAATGAATTTGGATGGAATGTTGCGGGCATACATAAGTATTTTTTACCTGCTACACGTTTTGGAGTTCATTTTAATTATTGGAACAATATAAATTTTAAATTATTCACATAAATTCATTGAAACAATAGTTTATACAAAAATAGTTTATTGAAACAATAGTTTATACAAGAATAAATTCATTTTAATTATTGAAACAATATAAATTTTATAATTATACTTATTATTCACATAAATGTTAAATATATGACAAAATTTTATCAAATTAATTATTTGATGAAACAACATTGTAGTCAAATCGATTTTCTAAATAAAAATTTTAAAATGACAATTATTTTGAAATGAATCTAATATAATTTATTATCATTTACGTACACCGTACATGTTATGTATTAATTTTAAATAGACATATTTTTTGTAATTTTACACAATTTAAATTTTATATAATATTTTTAATAGATTAATACAAATAAATTATTTTACATATTGATTTTATATTTTTCATTTATAAATATTATTTAATGAGCATAATCTATGGATCGCACGGATTCGGACTTTATACATAACAAAATCAAACAATCTCTCTCCCCATATTTTGTACAACAGAAAATTGCGTATTGACCAATCAACACCCTTGCTGCCCAAGTCAAAAAATCCCTATTTAAAAGCCCTTCCAAAACCATCAAACGCTCTCACCCCACAANGCCCTTTACACCCCGCGGCCGAAATCCGGAATCCCCAGCGGGCCGCCAACCGCAGGCCTGTTCACGAAGGTCCCCTCCAAGCCCACCAACCACTCCAAGTTCACCGGCAAGTGCGGCCGACCCCAGTGCCGCGGTTGCCACGTCGGGCCCGCCTGCAAGTCGAGGGGCAAGGCCAAGGGGGCCCACAAGGCCAGATCCGCGGCGGCTGACTACTCGGAGGACGAGGATTACTATGACGACGGAGATGACTACGACCGCGATTTAATTGAATCCGACCGTCGTTCGTGGTGCGCCAGATCTAGATCGCCGCCTCCGGTTAGATCCCCGTCTCGCGGTAAGTTGGAGATTGTTGATGAATTGTCGTCACGCGATCAATTGGAGATTGATGTTGAATTGTCGTCTCGCGAACAATTGGAGATTGATGGTGGATCGTCGGTTGAGAGTGTCGATGACGATAAGATGAGTTATTGCGAAGTGGGGATATTGTGCGGATCGGAGGATGGGGATGAGAGTTGGTGTTTGGTTGACGAGAAAAACGTGACTTGCTCTTAGATTGTGATTATTATTCTCCAATTGGTTATTGCTCAATTGATTTCTAATTGCTTCTTTACGGATGGTAAATATTAATTTCCTCTATTATTAGGGTTTCTGAAATCCTCTTGTGGCTCCTAGATGAATTTTCCCGGTTTTATTCAATTATTCGCGTAATTAATATTTTTTATTGGTTTCTTCAATCCTTGCAAATTGTTTACTGTATATCATGAATTTTTTTGCGTTTTTAATTTTTGTTTAAAAAAATTATGATATAGTTATGTTGCACATTAAAATTATTGAGGTTTGTGGTGAAGCAANACTTGTTTACCAAGTATCATGAGTTTCCACTGCTTTAATTTTTATTTTAAAATTACTTTTTGTGATGAAAGTATTTTGTCATGAGTTTCTACGGCTTTAATTTTTATTTTACAATGATGAAAGTATTTGTTCACATAAGGCATTTTGTGGTTAAACAAAGGTTTTGGGTGTGGGATTCAAACTTATGGGATTCAAACTTCATGAATAGTGCAAAACGAAGCTCAAATATATTTGCTAATATAAATGGATCCATGCTACAAACTCAGCTGTGACATTTGTATTTGGTGTATATTCGATGATTTGCATCCGAGATCGCCTATTATGCAATATCATGTTTACTAATATTCAGATATTAAAACATTTATTTAGTTACATTCCTAATTATTGAGGTGTTAAACCTTAAATAAGAGAGAGAAATCTCTCTCAATTAATTTTCTTATTCAAATTCAACTCCCTAGAATCAAAGGGAACACTCTTTAAATAAGACTTCTCAAATCTTAAATTACTAGTTTGTCCAACAACACAAAGATTCTAATATAGTAATAAAATAAATAAGTTTTTAACAAATATAGAATACCATTAATAATAATTAAAACAAAGAAAGTTAATGATTAACAAAATCAATGATGCTAGACGATATCTCGTCTCCGTTATTCTCCCTCTCTCGAAAATGATCCGCCCTCGAATTTGGCACATTCTCGTCTCCAAACAATGAGACCACATCTTTGCTCGGCTATATCGAGTGTAATACGCCGAGACCAAGAAGACTCCCAGCCACCAATGGGTTTCACACTCGCCTGTAGCAGAGGTCTGCCAGATGTTGCAGCCCAACTATACTGACTATGAGGCTCTGTGGAACTTGCTCAAGTCCACCTATTATGTTCACCTTTCTTAGCCCAACCTTGTCCATCAGAATTAAACTGTGTGCTCCACGTGATTTTCCCTGACTTTCTTATCAAACTAGTTGTTTTAGAAACATTATTTTTCCAATCAGAGACATCGTGGGTGCCTTTATCTTGAGTGCTCCTTACACCCATATTTGTCCGTTCACTTTTGGAATTAGACGTTGCGCCCCAAGTGTCTTGTTCAGGTTATTTCTCCCATAACTGCCAATGATATGAAACCAAAGCTCCACAATGCGAAGGGTGCAGACTATAAAGCCCAGTAGAAGGTACCTCTAAAATTATGTGAGAGCCACCACACTCTGAATGTTAAACAACATCCTGGACGAGGCCTTCGGCAGCCACTTCGACGACCCCTTCAACTTCGTCGTCCCCGTAGTCCTCAAAAAGAGGCGGACCCAAATATTCTGTTGTCCCCTCGTTACCAAAACAAGGCGGACCCTCATAATCGGTCGTCCCTTGCCCGTCCTCAAAGACCCCTGAAAATTTGGGGATCTCGACTCGGAACGATGATTCTCAACGTCGATCGTCGGTGAATCGGTCCACGTCCCACGTCTCCATCGCGCCGAAAAGACATACCTCGGAGACGATGTCGTCATCGCCACCGTCTTCGACCCACGAAGAAGGCGACCGAGGGCGGGTCACCCCGCGTGCGACCCAATCCGCGACACCCGCGCATCCCACTGCGCCTTTTGTCGTGGGCACGGTTCGGTCGATCGCTCTGAACAATTGTATGAAGAGCCAGATGTATGTCTTCGATCCCCACAAAAAGGTCTACAATCACACGACCCATCACCTCGAATTGCCGACCGAGCCCCTCGGCTTGGCGACTCAGAGGGTTGATGGTGGCGTCGCGCCTATCGTCTGCAGCGTCGTTTCTTCGCGGCGACATCATAGATCATTGTTGGTCTTTGGATACCAACTGACGTAGCGTAGAGTACAAAAGAGAAATAAGAGAAGAGAAATCTCTCTCGAATACGTAATTTTCTTATTCGAATTTAACTCCCTAGAACCAAAAGAGGAAGGCTCTTTAAATAAAAACCACTCAAATCATAAATTACTAACTTGTCCAACAAGACAAAGATTCTAATAAAATTATAAAATAAATAAGTTTCTTAACAAATCTAGAATACCATCAATAATAATTAAAATACAAAAAATAAAAAAATAACTAAATCAATAATGCTAGACGACATTTCGTCTCCATGTATTTATTTTGTTGCTAATCACATTTATGCAAATACAAACACAACAATTACTACCAAATTTAAGACGTGCGTGGCAATATCTTTTTCTTAATAATTTGGTATATTTATACAGTACAGTATATGGTTTGGCGTTAAAAACCAAGTGAACTCCATATTTTTCACAAACGAAAACCCAAAGTCATAAATTCGTATCACATTTTATTTAATTTTTTCATTTTGGGGAAACCCAAAATTGCGTTTCATTCACGTTTGAATACAACTGCTGTTCAAGTAACAAATTTTGCTAACATCAGAAACAATCTATTACCCCGCAACTATTCTGGAAACTATTATAGATATTCTTGACTATCTGCGTTACATCTGATTATCGTTTTCCAGGATATTTCTAAATATTACAGTTTGCAACTAGCCAAGGTATTCTGTTGTTCATAATAATAGTCGACTGATGGAACTAAATTTCCACTGGTTCATCTCAAATAGGCCACTGAAGACGAATTCAATCAAGCTCTAAACAGTGTGCTTTACCATTAAAGAGGTGAAATTGATGAGAAAAGCATTTCTCAACAAAAGCAAGAGATTATGAAGATTGGCTTTTACACCCCAAATTCTGCAAGTTAAACTCAAAACATAAAAATGATGGACCATAAAAGCCCACCAAAACTGTTCTGCACCTTCATCTTCCATCTCAATCAACCATATTCTTTTCTCTTTTCCCATACAGCTTCAATCTAAAACTTAGATAATCGTCATACACTGAAGCACTTAAATTCCGCATATATAAATATATATTTTTCCTTTTTTCCCTCATAAACGAATAACCCTAAGACAAATTCTACACAGCACAAGGATCCTCAAGCCCATGTCCTAAATCCCCACAAGTAGAAATTCACCAATCGATACACAGATAAAACACAGACTCCCCCAAATCTTGAATTCCTTAACCCAAACCACACCAAAGCCACGTCATCAAAAAGCCCACAATCCAACTCAACCAAAATCCATGGACAAATTACTTTTTTTNNNNTTTAAACATGGTTTTCCTGCATGTGCCTCTTGTGGTCCCTTTCCGAATACCTCCCAAGCCCATTTCTATCCTCCGGATAGTGGGCCTGTTTATGGCCCGCCACCGCCGCCTTATCCAACGGGCTTCCGGGCTTTCTTTTCCGTGCGCTCGACTGATACTCCCTCCCGTCATCATCAAACACCTCCTCCACTTCGCCCTCCTCAACAGCATCAAAGTCAACCCCGGCAGGCTTTGACCAGTTTGACTTTTTCTCCTGTTTATCTGTCGGGACCTCGACATCCTCAAGCTCACGCTCCAGCTCATCCACTGGGCCCGCCTTGCGAGTTATGTCCCCGAGTGCTTTCCTCCTCTCGAAGGCTGCTTTCAGCTTCTCACGGTCGAGCTTCTTGTTCGCATCCTGGGGAGAGAAACTCGTCTTTCCTTGGAATTTATCCTTTCTTTCTACTGGATTATTATTATTACTAATTCTACTAGACTCCCTTCTCTCGGTAGTTTCTTCATTAACCTCAGTAGTTTCGTCCTTGCCAGCTGGCGGCGTGGTGGTGGTGCTGTTGATCTGTGAGTCATTTCGGGCCTGGGCGGGCTTGGGGGGCCCGTTCTGGCTAGGGGCGGTTTCGGGCTGTCCGGGCTTCAAGGAAGGCTGTTTTGAGGAGCTGTGGGTAGGGACATGATCGTCATTTTTAGATGGAGGTCTTCCGCTGGCGCCGGCACTGCCTTCAGCCTCACCAGCTTGAGACTGAGGCACTTTGTTTTGTTCGTACAGTTCCAACATCTGGTTGCTAACCTCTGCAAAAAAGTACAAGGGTAACACCGTAAATGAACACATGTACTCATGTAGATGAAAAATGCACCCCTTTTCTACTTCCTTTCTAATTTTTCGGTCAAGAAAATGAGATTGAGATTGAAAATTAAGCAAAACAGCACCAAAAAAAAAACTAATCAACCAAAGCATGGTGTCATTTCCAGATATAGTACATGATGACATCATCATGATGGTGTACAAGCATCATAAGGAAGGGGGCACCCACCCTCCAGCTGGCGGGGGGTGACGTCAAACTCCTGCCACCAGACCTTCTCGCCTTCGTGCGGGAGTTTCACCTTGAGGAACTTGGCGGCAAGGAAAATGGCACCCGCAGCTATGTGGTGGGGCTTAAACTGCAAGCATAAGGATGTCCGAAGCCTGCATAGCCGCATTCTACCGTCAAAAACATAGAATGGCGGCCATGGATAGGATAAACCACTAAAAAATTTCAAAATACTGTATCATACCCATCGTTCACAAAATTCCATGCTACTTGAGCAAGGGCATTTTGGGCAACCTTGAATTTTTTAATTGCCTCCACCAGGGGTTTGTATGGGTGGTTCACGTTCAGGTCGAAACCGAGTGTACCGAGAACCACCCTTTCTCCCACCAGAATAAGTTCCTTTTGTTGTTCATATACTTCCTGCATGTACAATACAATATCAAACTATTTATTCAAAATAATAATAATAATAATAAGATTTGAGTGGAAAACAAATAAACAAAATATAAAAGAGCACGAACAATAAACCCAAAAAAGCAAG